TTGAGACACACACACACACACACACACATCTATACACACACACACACACACACACACACACACACACATATCTATCTATATATATATACAGAAGAATATATCGCAACATATCCTGTTACTGCACATGCTTCAGATTACACCGCAGTGTGGATTTCAGGCCATGTCGCCCGGCCCTACCTCAAGGCATTTAATATCATAAGGTGAGGACAACAACAATAATCCAGAGGAAACAATCAGGCGACCCCCATGAGCGATCACTTTGGTGACTGTGAGAAGGAAAAACTCTCTTTGCACAGGAAGAAACCTCTGACACACTCATGGTGGGGCAGCCCAGACCGACGGGGGTGAGGGGGGGAGACGAGACAAAAGACATGCTGGGATTAATGCAGAGAGGTGAATGAACACATGATGTATGAACACATGGTGAAATAGGGTGAATTCAGAAAAAAACGTCTCGTCTACTGCAGCATAACTAAGCGAGGATTCAGGGTCACCTGGTCCAGCTGCTTCCACAGAGGAGAAACTATTGTACTTTTAAATATCTCAGGAACGTCTGCTTCTGTGTCTTAACTTGATTATTGCTATTACATCACATTTCAACATTTTCAGCAATCACTCACAATCAGCATAATTATCAAAGACCAGTGGTCTGATTGACACCACAATGGTCCACTGAAACACACAACCCTCCACACCAAGCCCTGGATTTATTGTTTTTATCAATACCACCCAAAACTTGATCCCAAACTTGTCAGGTTTACTTGCAATATACTGCAGGGTTAGGGTTATACTGTGGGTTTCCCAGGTTTGCTGACCAGCAGCCTAGTAAAGCCCGCAAGATGACAATTTCATTGACCTCAACACAAAAGGAAGTTCACAGCTTTTAGCAGCTCCCCACCCCCCCACACTAACAAAAAGGCAGTTGGCAGTTAGAAATCAGCAATCATTCACACACCCCCACTCCCCCACTTCTCAAGTAACAACCTAATTTACATATGAATTGATGCTAAAAGACTAGCCAGTTTAGCTTCCACTTGGCTGACTTGGGTTAGAAAAGCCTGGGACTTCCAGGGTTAACTTTCTTCATTTAACTGAGGAGTGCTTTATAAAT